GCAGGGGAAAACCACAAGAAATGCCCAGGGACTGGGGAGGAAAATCCCAAAAGAAGAAGACCTCCGGGGGGGGGGCAGCGGCCCCCGCCACCGCCGCGGACGACGTGGCCGAGTCCAGGGGCAGCGAGCGCCCCGCGCCTCGTCCCCTACCTCCTCTTCCCACCGCGGCTCCGCTTGCCACCGGAGAGGCGCGGCGCGTTGCACCCGCTGCAGCCTTCTGCCCGGAATGCCAGCTCCTTGGGCGAACGAGCGCGGCTCCGAGGCGAGGGAAGCGCCTCTGCTCTCTGCCAGGCTCTCCTATTTCCGGGACTCCAGGGACGTGGCGATATGCATCGCCCGAACACAGGTCCCTCCGACCCCCCAGCACGACACGCCGCTCGCTCTGCCCGCACCGCGCTCTCGCTACTCCAGCACTGCCCGCCGGCTGCCGGCCGCCCAGACACTCACACTGGGCGGGGACTCCAGAAGCCGTCGCCGCCGCTTGGGCGCTCTGCTCCAGTGACTCGATTCTTCGACAGTGCCCAGGAGCGCCTGCGTGCTAGGCTCTCCCCTTCCTCCGCCTGCTGCTCATTGAACTCCTGCCAAGACAACAAGAGCTGCAAGAATAACCAGCTCTCTCTAGTCAGCACGCGGGGAGCAGGAGGGAGGGAAGGAGCGGCAGGTCTTTCGTACGTGAATGGATGCAAATAGAAGGACTGGGGTGCCTTCCCTTCTCCTCCTTCCGGGCAAGAATGCTGCGATAGTAATACGCGGGGAGCGTAGTTTTGGAATCAAAAATAATTAACAGCCACCCCGTACACACACTCTCGCCCGTTGCAGAAGGTCACCGCACCGTGTGCATGTGCTCCAGCGTAGGATTTTGGACTCGGCAATGCCCGCGTTCTAAAATCTAGGTTACTCCTCGAGTCTTTCGAGTCTAGCTTCGGTATTGACTGCGGGCGCATGACCTTCGGCAAGTCCTTTAGACTTAAAACCGCCTCTTAAATCGAAGTCATTAACAGTTTTCGAAATCTCCAACCTCCCTCCCCTCGTACTGCATCGACAAAAAAGCGTAATTTTAGGTCAGGAAAGGATTTTGGATGATTATCGAGCCTTTAAGAGCGCTGCCATCCCTACGATTGCCTGTAGGGATGATGATGATGATGATTGGATTTATTGGAAGCAATTCCTTAGTGTCTTTCCCTGGAATTTGTTACCAGCTAATACTCCGATCCCAGGCATATTTCTTCGGGAGTAAATCCCTCTGAATGTAATAGGCTACCTAGAAGAAAACCGGCATAGGGTTGTACTCTAAAGGTAGCCTTAATTTCTGGGTAGAATTCATTGGGATTACTGGCTGGGAATGATGGGAGTTGTGATCAAGACATCGAGTGTTACTGGAATGAGAAAGGATACCACATGGTCAAGCAACCAAAGGTAACGATCCTGAATACGATCCTGACTTAGGAGCATAATCAGAAAATGATGTAATTGGTTTGCCCAAAAATACGACGGGGGTTGGCATGCATGTAAGGTTTTCTTCCTGAAATCTCATGTTAAAAGTACCCCAGACACTATTTAAATTACTACTTTAGTGCGCTCAAGAATCTTTTTAGATATTTTTTGAAATCAGCAACTGAATGTAAGGGAATGGAAAATATTTTTAGACTGCCGCATTAAAAAGGACGCTTCAGGCACAGCGGTATAATGAGAAGCCGGGGGTACTGGATACACGAGTGAAAAGCGCATTAGAAATCAACTCGATAGCTGCTTTGCCAGCAAGGAGATCTACCACAATGTGTAAATCTGTTGTGCGTGACCCTGCTAGTTACACTAACCGCTGGCAGGCTTCTTCATAAATGTATTACTTTTGCAGGATCTTTGAAAGTCCTTTCAGGTCTTCAGTACCAATACTGGGGCAGCCGTATTTCCTTTCCTTTCCTTTCCTTTCCTTTCCTTTCCTTTCCTGCCGTGAGGCAGCAGCGCTGCGCTGGGCAGATTCAGCGCACCCCCACAGTCGGTTTCCTAGCGCTTCTCTCCCACCCCGCGCCTTCTCAGAAAAGCCGCGCAAGCTTCCCTGGTACCAGATAGGAAGAACCCATTGTCACCGAAGGAAAGGCGTAATCCTACTGTATACATGTAAGTGTCACGCTGCGTGCATATGGGATCGTGCCGGGTAAACAAAATGGCAGCGTTTTCCTAAAATTCTGGCGTCTAGGTCACCATTCCCACAGTGCTGCTGCAGCTGCTGAGTTATGTAGGTTACAAAGGGAAACGGGGGAAGGGAGGGCGGAGAGCGCTCTGACGTCCGCATTTTGTTCAAGGGCTTTGGCTGCGCTCTCCGTGCGCAGCCGCAGTCCAAGACGTGACTCTCGGCTATTGGCACTTGGAAGGCTTGTTAAGCGAAATGCACATTCCAGAGGCAGAGACCGCCTCATTGCTGCGCCGTCACGGCAATAAGCCCCGCCCTCTCTGCTATTTCTGGGCGCCCCACGCTCCCTTCCTCCCAGGTGCAAAACTTGCCCAATGTGGTGGCTGACGGGTGTAAAAGCCGCGATATGTACTCCCTCGCTCGCTCTGATCATTAATCTATGCGGCTCCTTTCGGAGGCGTACAGTGCTATCATTCATTCAGACCTGTTGGGGTTATGGAAGAACGATTGGCTGATGTAAATTCGGGTGCTGTAGGGCAACTTGCTTGCACGTGCGGCTGCCTGTATCGGGGTCCGATATTATTCCCCGGGAAATCAGTTTCAGCTCCTTGCCAGGGCTTTTCATGTTCCTTCTCTGGCTGGAAACTCAGTTGCTGGAGCTGCCAAGGTTCCGATAGCCATTCTTTTTCTTTTTTAATGCAAACAGACGGCTCAAGCCGATTTTTTACAACCTCTTCCCTTTGAACTGGAATGAGCTGGTTGTGAGTTGGAGGAGCAGAGTGTAGATTATTATCTCTCCAACCGGATTGGCAAAGAGGAGGCAAGGGAGAGGGAAGTATGGTGCTGACATTGTCTACCTTGCTGCCATTCAAAATGAGGTGATTCGTTTGAACAGTTTCTCCTGATGAAGCGGAAAGGTTTTGTTTTTGTTTTTTTAAATCCACCCTCGATTTTATTGATCTTAACTGGATCACATGAATAAACTTGTCCTCAAATTACATGGGTGTTTAATCTCATATTAACGCGTTCAGTATTCTTTTCACGATCCTCCCGCGTGGGGATTTCCGCTGTCAAATGCCTCGCTTGTTACGCTTGCGCTTTTCAGCGCTACCAGCCATTCCCGCTACCGTGCAAAAACAGTGGGCTTGGTGCAGGCTTCTCCCTCGCAAAATCCTGTGCCCCCCCAAAATGGCGCAGTGCCCCCTCCCACACTTTCTCACAGATCCAGCAAATCACCTCCCCTCTCCCAAATATCCCATGGTTTAAAATGGAAAACTGCAATTGTTGGTACACTCAGGAAAATCCTATTGTCCTTTCGATGCAATGCAGCTTAATCGCTTCCTGCCTTCTCATGCCTCCGCGGTGAAGCCGCATCAGACATAAACAGTGCCCTTCAATTCTCCCACGCAGCACAAAGCCAATCATCCTTCGCCCACCATGTGCTCCCCCCCCCCGCTGCAGAACCATCAGACAAAATTATCATCGTTAAACAGCACCAAGTCTTGATTTGTATGTGCACCAAGTAAAACCTGCTGATTCTTAAAGATAATCGAGGTGTGTGTGTGTATAAATAAATAAAAATATAAATAAAAAAGAAGATCGTGGTGTTGTTTCCTCATCCCAGCCCAGGAAATTCTCATTTCCCAGCCGCAGTTCCATCTCTGGGATTTCTTTGAAAGAAGCATCTACCACCGCCCCTTTCTGTCCTTCAGTTTTGTTCGAGTTGGCAAGAGTTAACGTGTCTTGTTTTCCAATCCACAGCCGCCATGCCTTTTATGTTCTGTTCTATCGAATTCTTTGTCAGCAGCTCTCACGGCATTCCCTCCCCCCCTCCCCGCCCCGAGAAAGCTGTATACTTTTAGTAAACAGATCTTTGTTTTTGCCTTCCATCCACTACTTTCTCCAGAAAAGAAGCTGGATCCTTTCCAAGCTGGCTGCAACAACTACTTGCCTACACTAAGAGAGGGAGGGAGGGAGGGAGGAGGGAAGGAAGGCGGGACGGGTTTCTAGGGTGAGGCAATGTGTCTGCAATTCACAGAGACAAGGCAGGAATTGTAATTGCTTCCATCATGTGATGGCTTATGAAAGAGGAAGTTTGGATGTTTTAGTCACGTAGTTCTCTACCCTCTTGCTTAGCCTCCAGGAAAGGAAAGGAAAATTGCATGTATTGCCTACACCAAGAAAGAGCCAAGAACCGACGCGTTTTAACAGAAAAGTATGACTCTTGTGAACTGCTTGCTAATAATAATAATTTTTAAGAAATAAAGGGGAGAGAAAGAAATTACTTGACCCCCATTATTGGGTTTCACTTTGTTTTTGTTTTTTAATGATTCCTGTAGCTGTACTGGTCCTCAGAATAAATCCCCCCTTCATATATTCTAGGAGTCAAATAGAGGTTCTTTTACATTTCTGAGGTTTGTTCTCATTTAAAAAAAAATAACTGAATTAAGTTCTGGGAACTTAACCCATTCAAGGCTTCTATTGTTACATGGTAATGGTATTTAGGAATAGTTATGGCTAGGGGACACCTAATGGTGATTGGCTGTAATACATCGATGTGAAAAAAATACTTGCATAACCACTGAAAAAGACAAAATAAGAAAAAGGACTTCAGATTATGCTTTGACTAGAATGATATTGATACCACAGATATTGATATGTTTACCGAGCATAAATAGTGTTCTAGAGGGAGGGGACAGAATAAGAGGATATGTAATAAACCTCAGGTGTTAATCAAGTGTTTAGATCCAAAGGAAGTGATCAAGATGGAATGGTTACTTTTAGTTTCTGGAGGGGTTTAATACTAAATCCATGTTCTTTCTTTAGAATCACAATTCAGTCATAAAGATTACTGGAAAAGTAGAAAATTCATACCTGCTGTCCTATATCAAAGACAGAGAGGCCTGTGGCACCTTAAAAGCTAAGAGATTTATTATGGCATAAGCTTTTGTGAAGGTCACAGAAATGAGGATCATAACCAAACATGCTCCATCATAGGCTTATTTATTGGAAAGTCAATCCAAATGAATTCAGTGGGACATTACTAAAAAGAAAAAAAAATTAAACAAAGGAATAGTAATTTGTCCTGAGTCCGAAAGAAGGAAATACATTTGATGGGTTGTTCATTAAAAAAAGCAGAAGAATATTTGAATAAGAGTAAGGAGCCAACCAATCACAGGAGTTTCTCCCAATCCTGGAGTTTCTATGAATGAAATGTAATTATTTGGCTAGGGATAGGCCATCCTTTTCTATCCAGGATTGCATACCCACAAAAATCATGCTAGGGCTCATTCATGCATGTGGTTGAGCAAGGCTGAAATGGACTAGAACCAATTGCCACTGAATATCTTTCTGGCACATCCTGTTTGGGTTTTTTGTTTTTCTCTCTCTTTTTCTTCCTTCTCTCGTAGCTAGCTACCAACGCTGGGACAGATCGCTCTTGCCACAGGCTCAGATTCATCGCTTGCAAATAGCTTTTGAAATTAGGTGAAAAGCTGTATGAAAGCAGGCCAAGAACTAAGATGACTAGGGGGTATGTGCCGTCCACCCTTGGATAAGAAGATGGGGCAATAGTTCTAACTCACATTCTTTGTGAGGGTAAGGATGAGCTGTATAACAGCTTGAAGGATTTGAATTAAATTATTTCCCATCCCCAATTTCATGGGATTGATCCAGATCAGCCTCCCTATAACTCTTTTAAGAAGAAAATGACTGTTCTAGCTGGCCATACTCCAGTGGAACATGTAGTGAAGCCTAGAGTTAAACTAGCTTTTTTCAAATTGAAAAGGTATAACATATTATGGAAGGAGACTCTGGAAACAAGTTTGCAAAGTGATATATCAAAAAATCAGAACTGAGCTTGATCCATTTCTGCTAAACTGCAAACTGAATCCCATTATTTTTTATCTGAGGACCATAGGACTGTAGCAGTAACATAGTACACTGCAGAAAATAGCCACTCTAAAGCTACATAGCAGCATCTAGCTGATCCTGCCTGATTCTGAAAAGCTAAGCAAGGTCAGACCTAATTAGTACTTGGAGGGGAGACCACCAGGAAACCTGAGAGTATAGGCTAGGTTGGGAAGTTGAAAAGACAGCAAAAGGCAATACAAGCAACTTCCATATGACATGGATATCACACACACACACACACACACACACACATAAGTGTAATGCAACAGCAACAAACAGAAAAAAAGGAAATTAAAGGGAGCTGTAATAATTTTTTCAAACACATCATTACTAATGTGGTGAAAGTTTCCCCAAAACAAAAAGTTTCTAATTTTCTATCTCCTCAGGATAACTGACCCATCTGGGCTTGCTTTTGTGGGGTTGCCGAAGGTGGTGTGGTTTCCTGCTGCACAGCTCTTCGTCCTCTGTAGCCTTTTTGACTTCCTATGCTTCTTGACTGAAAAAGAGTTTCTCCAGGAGGTTTCCTTCTGAGGTTTAAGCACAGCATGGAAAGTCAGGAGACTGCAGAGCAGGGGGCAGGTCATGGTCCCGTGGAAGACGAATGCGCTTTCCTCCGGTCAGTGAGGTGGCACCAAAGTACACCAGCATAGTTTGCCGTGTCCTGACAACCAACTTCTATTCTGCCTCACTAATGAGGCTGGTGAGTGGCACGGCCCTGAAGCTTCAGTGGGGGACAAGTGAAGGAAAGCAAGCTGATAAATATCCTGCCAGTGCCTGATCACTCTTTCTGCCCAAGCCAGGGTAGGCTGGGGTGGGGGCATGGGGAGTTGGGGGGTGCCTGCAGCAACTAAAAGCAGCTAAGAAGAGCTGGGCAAATCCCAGCTTGTCATCACCAGAGTTGCTGTCGAAACACTGCAAATCATGCCTACAGTAAATCTTGGGGGAAGATTTCTTGGGAGAAAGCAGAAAATACCATTTTAACATAACCACAAGGTTGGGCAGCCTCAGTTATAGGACAGGGGTGGGATGAGGGCTGCATCATGAAGGACTTGTCTTTAAAGAACAGTTAGCAAGACATCTTCAAGGGGCAGTTAGAGGAACATATGGGTGAACCCTCAGAAACCTGCCTTTCTCAGTCACCTGGTAACAGCACAAATAATTGTATAACAAATACAGATCAGCTCAGCTGGTCAGACACTTCTTCAAAATAATTTTGCCTGCCTTGAAAAGATCATCAGCAAGGAATAGAGGAGCCTCCAGGAGGAGCAAGGTCTGTAGTCTAGTTGCTGCGAGAGAAGAGAGCTGGAATACCAATGTGGTTTAGTAGTTAAGGCAGTGTTTTCAATCTTGGCAACCTGAAGGTGTGTGGACTTCAACTCCCAGAATCTACCCAGATTTCTGCTTCTGATGTGTCTAAAGAATTGTCCGATTTAATGTTATTAGAGATATGTGCCTTAAAATCTTTTCCTGATATCCTTTATTGCAGGAGTGAGCAGCGTGCAGCCCATAGGCCACGTGCGGCACTGCAGCCTCCATTTGCAGCCTCCAGAGCTCCCTGGTTGAAAATGTCGGACCTTTTATTAAAGGGGTGGATTTCAAGAGGCAAAGTGGTGGCCTTAAATCTTGCCACTATATCATCCCTTCCGAACCATGAAAACGCTCCAAAATTGGGTTCATTTTTACCCACTTGGGAGGTTAGGGGGCAAAATATAAGACCCTGGGGGGGATCACCCCTTAAACCCCCCAAAAAATCACTCCCTCAAACAAAGAAAACTTTGAAAACTATACTTCTGTCATTCTGATGACAATGTATTTGCTGTTCATGCCCTCACTTCCTCCAGGTAGGGCAGGAAAAAGTATAATTCCCAAGCTAAAAAGGGTTTCCTTCCAATTGTCTTTGAAGGGTAAATACTAGAGGATTAAATAAAACATTATCCTGCTGGCCCTCTGTAAATCTTGAAAGACCTGGATGTGCTCCAGGGCCTTGAGTTGGGAGGTCAGATGGCCTATTGAGAGGTTTCTGTGTATTGTCTTGATGGGTTCATTCTCGGTGACCATTGTGCTTTTTTATTCTGCTAATATTATTTCTTATTGTTTTAATGTGTTGTTTGCCACCCTGAGTTGCATTTGAGAAATGGGTGGCCGTATAAATTGATTTTAATAAATAATAAAAAAAAATTGACCAAGTTTTTTATTGTAGTCCTTCCTAGGATTCAGCCTAAAAGCTAATAGCAGACACTGTATGTTTTAGGATTGTAAATTCAGAAAGTGACACTCAATGGTGACTAGACTAGTTTGAGTAAATGCTGTTAATTGTCAAAATATATTCTTTCAGAAAAAGGAGTATTTGCTAAAGTTGAACTATTTGACTTTGTAAGGATCAGCTTCTTTTCATTGACCTAAGCAAAATAAGTATGAGGAGCAGATATTAAAAAATCTAGGCAAATGAAAGCTTTTTCTTCTTAGAGTATTGGAAGTGTTGCATTTTGCTAGGAAGTAAAAAAAAAAAAGAAATAAATTTTTAGTAATTCAGAAAATTATACCAATAAAGCTTGTTCTTCAAGGTTCCAATAATTATGTGATTAAATGTCCATGTCTTTTCTTCAGACTAGCTGAATGAGAAATGGATTCAACTGCTGAA